TATCTGATGACATTCTTAACAGTATATTGGCTTAAAGTCGACATGACCATGTCTTAAAGTCTCTTTTTGGACCAGTGTCAAAGAATGTTTGGGGGACATTCAGATTTGAGGGAGATAGATAATGCAGAATAAAAACAGTTGTGGTATATTCCCTCAGCTGCATCTATAAGATGACAATACAACTTTTAGGAAAGTGAAATATTCTGTCAAATCACAGGGTTTTATTTCTCATCTTCCTGATATCATCTGTGCCAAAAAACTAGATTGAACTGATAAAAATGAACCAGATGTTTTATATATGTAACTTCTGTGGAGATGAATTAGCACTGGTTTAACTTGTACATCTGAAGCCAACTTTGGATTTACAATAGCATGCTGCCATAAATGAAGCTGATTTTTTTCTACACGATTTCAAATCGAATCCATCCATTCCTTCAACAACTCTTGAGTGCTTACTATGTGTTAGGTACTCTTCTAGGTACTAGGGAAACATATTTTTATTGCAAGAAAGGCTAAGTTGAGTTGATGGTTTAAGTTTTATGTAATGAAGAAATTGAAGGTTGATTAAGTTGTCCATTTAAATATTATTTAGCTATCTGCAAACAGAGCTGAATCTAAATCACAAAGCACAATGCTGGGCATTTAATAAATTTCAATTAGCATATTTAACGTAGACTTTTGATAATGTTGCTTGGTCAAATTTACTGGAAATTCTAATTGCTTCTTTTTTTTGTTTTGAAAAATGCTTTGTATATCTTGAGCTCAATGTCAAAATAGTGTTTATGTAATTTTACTAAAATTAATATCTATAGGGCATGCCTTTCATCTTTAGTGCAAATGACAACAAATTAAAGGGGTTATTTAACAAAAACAACATATACGTCTAAAAGCACTTACTATGTGACAGACACTGTTGTAAGAGAGAAGAACATGTCCTACGTTTTAGTTTGGTAACTTTGCACTATGAATCTTAGAAATTTGAATTACCTACAGTCATGAGTTCTTGACAGTTTATTCCAGGTGCCCTATACTTAAAAGGCACTTATTTCAAATTAAAACAGAAATCTTACTTTTAACTATTCTCCTAAAAGAGATTCTTGTACAGTTATTATTTGTGTAGGGCATAGAGATTTACACGTTAGCTTTTCTAACTAAATGGACACAGTGATCCCTCTGTAATTCTAAAATTCAATGATTCGTTCACTCACAATTAGAAAAATAGCACCTGCTGGTGAAAAGTATGGCCATACAGATAATATGGGATAAGAAGTGAAATTAAAGGGTCTAAAAATGTGCCATAACTAGTCTGAAATAAAAATCTTCATTATTTTCCTTGATTCAGCTTCACCAGAGATAGTAAGCAATACAAACAGGTTGCTTGTGTTTTTCTTCTTAGAATTATTATTTTAAAAATTTCCTTCTGCAAATCATTTTCCCCCCACAAAACATGTCCATTATTTCTAGAACAGTTTATTCACTGCCCAACAGGAAATAAATAATAGAATGGAGTCTTAAGTTAAAAATAATACAACTGTGTAGAACCATGCTACTTCTATGTGGAAATACACTGGAGCAATATTTGAAATAAGTCTACCCTTTTAATCCCTGCTTCCAGATTTATTTACAAGTATCCTTCATACCATTCTCATCTTAGTGTGGAACATTTTTCTAGGCTAAAACCTCCTAATTAGTTTTTATAAGCTTTTCTTGGACAGGCTTACTAGCAAAAGTTGTTTGTTAGGCTGTGAATACAATAGGATCACTTTTAGCCTTATATAAGTTTTATTATTTGGTATTTTCAGCTATTTATGGATCAAGGTAGGACAATTTGGCAAAACTTTTTTAAAAACCTTGCACATTTCAGAGCCAACTACATAATTGCATATTCCTTCCCAAGTCTATAATAGCATAGCAAAAATCAAAAACAAGCAAACAAACAAACAAAGCCTAAAAAATCCTGGAAAATGGGGCACATTTTTATAAAGGCCTACAAGTTATTCTTGTTGATAAAAATACCATTCAGGTATAACAATTTAATGGGGGGAAATGTGTGAAGCAGCAACAAGATTTTACAGATTTGTACGCAGAAGTGGAGAACATAGAAATCAGTTGTTATACTAACTCTTAATTATTATGACAAATGATTCAACTAAATAATGTCCACTCAATTGAAAGAGCCATTTGATAATAATACATCGCTTTTATCCTTCAAAAGGAGCAGGAAGACATATGCTACTTGTTTTTTGGAATGGCAAAGTAAGGAACTCAGCAAAAAAACAATGATAAAACTGGACAAATTTATCAAAAACTAACATTTCAGGACTCTGAATTGACCAAAGCCATACAAAAAATTGAAAAAAGTTTGTTCAAGAAAAACAACTAAACCTTAATAAGACAATAGGAGTACATGGCAGTTTAATCTGAGGCTGCTCCAATCCCCAAGCCCCAGCTCCACATTGTGATAACTCTATGAGTGCAAGAAAGGCCATGAGGACTTAACAGTTTCATGGTGTAAGGCAGCTGTCTTGATTTAAAGAAAAGAGAATAAAAACTCAATCTCAGAGGTATTGTCAAAGCCAATAGTGATGTTGCTAAAAAACAATCAGGGAAGGTGTTGATCCTTATCTGAACAGGAAGACTTGTACACCCAGAAAATATTGACTTTATAAGAATTGACTTGTAACTGACTGAAATTACAATGTGTACCCCATCTAAACACAGATGGATTGGCAAAGAGTGGAAATATTATTCACTTAAGGAGTTTAAGCATAAATTTTAATCAATCACTGGTTTACCACTAATTTATGATGAATCAGAGGTAACTCCTATGAAAGCAGTATTAAAAATAAAATAAAAACAATGAAATAATTTTTAAAACTAGAACAGAGACATCAATGACCACACAGTACATGGGATACAGGAGATACAGACTCTACAGAATTAGCCTAGACAAGATACTAGACAAATAGACCAAACAAAATATAGTAACAACAAGCACCAACAACAAATCCATACAGGGGATCCAAATCCATAGGCACTGAGTTAATTTCTCTAAAATGATCAGTTTTCAACAAAAAATCTATAAGGCATGCAAAGAAGTAGGAAAATATAACCCATACACAAAGAAAAAAATTCAAGAGAAGCTATCTCTATAATAGTGTCCAGATGTTGGACTTAGTAGAAAAATACTTCAAGGCATCTATTATAAATGTGCTTAGAGACATAAAGAAAACCATTCTTTAAAATTAAAGGAGCATGTGCTGACAATGACTCAATAAGGAATATCAATACAGAGACAAAATATATTTTAAAAAACATCAAATGGAAATGTTAAAGTTTAATATTACAATAACTGAAATGAGAAATTTACAAGAAGGGCTCAATAGCAGATTTGAGCTGACAGTGGAAATACTCATTGGACTTAAAGATAAATCAATAAAGATTATCCAATCTGAAGGATAAAGAGAGAGAGAGAAATGAACAGAGCCTCAGAAACTGGCACAAAAACAGACATCTAGATCAATGGAACAGAATAGAGAGCCCAGAAATGGACCCTCAACTCTATGGTCAACTAATCTTCGACAAAGCAGTAAGAATGTCCAATGGGAAAAAGACAGTCTCTTCAACAAATGGTGTTGGGAAAATTGGACAGCCACATGCAGAAGAATAAAACTGGACCATTTCCTTACACCACACCCAAAAATAGACTCAAAATGGTTGAAAGACCTCAGTGTGAGACAGGAATCCATCAAAATCCTTGAGGAGAACACAGACAGCAACCTCGTCAAGCTCAGCTGCAGCAACTTCTTCCTAGAAACATCACCAAAGGCAAGGGAAGCAAGGGCAAAAATGAAATATTGGGATTTCATCAAGATAAAAAGCTTTTGCAGAGCAAAGGAAACAGTCCACAAAACCAAAGGACAACCAACAGAATGGGAGAAGATATTTGAAAATGACATATCAGATAAAGGGCTAGTATCCAAAATCTATAAAGAACTTATCAAACTCAACACCCAAAGAACAAATAATCCAATCAAGAAATGGGCAGAAGACATGAACAGACATTTCTGCAACGAAGACATCCAAATGGCCAACAGACACATGAAAAAGTGCTCAACATCCCTCGGCATTAGGGAAATACAAATCAAAACCACAATGAGATACTACCTCACACCAGTAAGAATGGCTAACATTAACAAGTCAGGAAATGACAGAAGTTGGCAAGGATGCAGAGAAAGGGGAACCCCCTACACTGTTGGTGGGAATGCAAGCTGGTGCAGCCACTCTGTAAAACAGTATGGACGTTCCTCAAAAAGTTGAAAATAGAGCTACCGTACGACCCAACAATTGCACTACTGGGTATCTACCCCAAAGATACAAATGTAGTGATCCAAAGGGGCATCTGCACCCCAATGTTTATAGCAGCAATGTTCACAATAGCCAAACTATGGAAAGAGCCAAGATGTCCATCATCAAATGAATGGATAAAGAAGATGTGGTGTATATATACAATGGAATATTATGCAGTCATCAAAAATGAAATCTTGCCATTTGCAATGACGTGGATGGAACTAGAGGGTATAATGCTAAACAAAATAAGTCAATCAGAGAAAGACATGTATCATATGATCTTACTGATATGAGGAATTTGAGAAACAAGACAGAGGATCATAGGGGAAGGGAAGGAAAAGTGAAACAAGATGAAACTGGAGAGGGAATCAAACCATGAGGCTCTTAATCTCAGGAAACAAACTGAGGGTTGCTGGAGGGGAGGGGTGGAAGGGATTGGGGTGGCTGGGTGATGGACACTGGGGAAGGTAGGTACTATGGTGAGTGCTGTGAATTGTGTAAGACTGATGAATCACAGACCTGTACCCCTGAAAAAAATAATACATTATATGTTAATTTAAAAAAAGTAAAAACAAAGAGTCAGAGGCTTAACTGACTGAGCCACCAAGGCGTTCCTGGAGATACGGCTTTCAGAAAATAATTGAGGTTAAATGAGGTGAGAGTAAGATGCTAATCCAGTAGGACTGATAGCCTTCAAAGAAGAAGAAAGGAGAGATCTCTCTCCACATGCACTCACTAAGGAAAGACTATGTGAACACAAAAGAAGTGGCTCTCTGCAAGCCAGGAAGAGAGATTTCACCAGAACCCAAATATGCAGGCATCCTGATATCAGACTTTCATCCTCCAGGACCATGAGCAAATAAATTTCTGTTGTTTAAGACACACATTCCATGATATTTTGTCATGACACTCTGAGTCAACTAAGACATGAACCCTATAGTAACTATTAAGAAAGTAACTTAAAAAGAAAAAAACAGTAAAAACAAACAAAATTAAATTGGAATTAATGTGGCACAGCAAAAAAAAAAAAATCTTGCAACAAAATAGAAATCAATGAAAGAAATGTAGGAACAAAAATATGAAACATGTAGAAAACAGTAAAATACAGACAAATTGTCAACAAAATACTATGAAGCTGAATACATAAAGCTTTTAAAAAAATCATTACAGACATGCACCAGGGCTTTGGTAAGTAGCTCCTGCTGAGTCTTAGCCAGACCCTCCCCCAGGAGACTATTGCAGTTGGCCATCCCCTACTTCTCCATAACCCTGTACAACCAAAAGGCCATGATCAAAAATGCCAGTTTGTCAGAGGAGATGCAACAGGACTTTGTGGAGTGTGCTACTCAGACACTGGAGAAATATAACATAGAGAAAAACCTTGCCGCCCATATTAAGAAAGAGTTCAACAGTGAGTACAACCCCACCTGGTACTGCATTGTGAGAAGGCATTTTGGTGTTAATGTGACGCATGAAACCAAACAGTTCATCTACTTCTACCTGGGCCAAGTGACCATTCCTCAGTTCAAATCTGGTGAAAAGCATGGACTATGTCACACACCCAGTGATCCATCCAAAAACAAGGACTGCAGACTAAATTTCAAATACCAGATGCTAAAATGTTCAGCCTTGCCCAAGGGAACACCTTGATATTTGAGCCTTTATTGTGTTATTTTCTACAGGGCATACTCTATACAAATTTTTTGTTGTTATAAAACAATTAGCAAAACAGCTTACATTTGTATTTATTTTTTCCTTAAAAAATTTTTTATTGTTATGTTAATCACCATACATTACATCATTAGTTCTTGATGTAGTGTTCCATGAATCATTGTTTGTGCATAACACCCAGTGCTCCACGCAGAACATGCCCTCTTTAAAACCCATCACCAGGCTAACCCATTCCCCCACCCCCCCCC